AGCATCTAGGTAAATTTGATAGCCCTTACCTACATATGCATTTTGCAATAAAAATTTCATTCATACGAAGGCCCATAAGTACACTTAGTATTTTTTATTCCACTTTTCTTTTCTATGGGTACTTTGTATTTTCTATGGGTACTTTGTATTTTCTATGGGTTACTTTTATTTTCTATGGGTACTTGTTTTTTTCTGTGTGTACTTTTATTTTCTATGGGTACTTTGTATTTTCTATGGGTTACTTTTATTTTCTATGGGTACTTTTATTTTCTATGGGTTACTTTTATTTTCTATGGGTAGTTGTTTGTTTCTGTGTGTACTTTTATTTTCTATGGGGTACTTTGTATTTTCTATGGGTTACTTTTATTTATGGGTTACTTTTATTTTCTATGGGTTACTTTTATTTTCTATGGGTACTTTTATTTTCTGTGGACACTTTTATTTTCTATGGGTACTTTCATTTTCTATGGACACTTTTAGTTTCTATGGGTACTTGTTTTTTTCTGTGTGTACTTCCATTTCCTATGGGTACTTTTATTTTCTATGGACCTGTTTAATGGTAGACCGAACCAAACAAAAAATAGTAACCCAATGAAGGGCGCACAAAACGATAAATCGTACAAGACGATAAAAATACCGCTCTACCCGGCGAGATCACTGAGACCCCACCAGGTCAGCATACCGGAGTACACACAGACACGTCTGTGTGTACTTCGCGAAGTTCTTCAGTGGCTGGCGAAGCGACATTCACTTTGTTTTCATGTGGATACTCCCATTTTTATTATGGGCGGCATATTTCTGTTTACCATTCTAGGCAACTAAATTCACTTTGAAGCTATTAAAACATAATATACGTAACACCTTAAGAAAAAGTAGTTTGTTTTGCATGCAATGAACCACACGTTTATTAATTAAGAGTATTAAATAGTGATTATTACATCCTGGCATAGATTATGTTAATGCAATGCAGGACCATACTATTTTCGGGGATGCTAGGACATATTGTTCAGACTGCCGTCAACATTTCCGTAGCGATATATGGTAAATCACTTCCTCGCTGGGAGTATAACCCATAGAAAATACAAAGTACCCATAGAAAATACAAAGTACCCATAGAAAATAAAAGTGGAATAAAAAATACTAAGTGTACTTATGGGCCACCGTAGTACATGGTCGTACCACCCAGTGCTATCTCTGTGAGGGAGCGGAGTAAACACTAAATGATTCAGCAGTGTGACGTGTTTGTACCACCCGGTACAATCCCAGAGTTGCACCAAACACGGCGTGTTGGGCGGCGCTGAGAGGAAGGCAGCTGCAGCGCACGGTGAGTTATCGTTGTCAGCATCACCAGCTTATTGTTTTTAGTCAATACAATGTAATGATATCAGCTAAATAGCTGGACCATGATATTTTAGGAGCTGCCACTCCAACTCGACCGGAAAGCTTTCTATGTTGTATCTAGAATCAGGCATTGCGCATTAGCGTCCAATGGCCGAGTGGTTGGGAGGCCAAATTAGTGTAATTTTAATTTTAAAGTAAACTAGAATTCCGAGACCTCATACCTCCATGAAATATGATCTTGATATGTAAATGTAAATTTCTTCTTTAATTGTTCAAATGACCTCTGCATTAACATGATATATGCATCGTGATGT